GGGAGAGTGGGGCCTGTGCTGGGCACAGCGCGGGGCGGCCGTGCCTGGGCGGCGCTGGGGCCCGAGCCTGGTTCTGCTCTTGGAGGCCACGTTGTAATTTGTTATTGCTCGTGCGTGTCGAGCAGAGCCCGAACTCAGGAAGCGAGGGACTTGAGACGTGTTAGTGTTTGTCATGGCATTAAAGCGTGGGTTTTTCTTGACCGCTAGTTTTATCACAGAACTACCAAAGTGGAAATAAGTGGAACTTGACATTGCCGCCTGCAGCGCTGGGGCCGCCTGCAGCTCTGTGCGCTTGCGGGTCACAAGTGCGTGGTAAAGGTTGGTTCGAAAACCATAATGTGGAACAGAGCCCTGCTCCAGAGCTCTACTGGTTTGGTTTTGGCCGCGCTGTCGTTGCTGCCATGTAACAGTGGGGCAGACAACCTGGCTGACAGCTGCAGGCTGAGAGGCTGTAGTCCACGTTTAAAATAAGGTGTTCAGCTCTGACCCATCAGGTTCGGCACAAGAAGGTTGTAGAATACTGTATTTTGTATTGTCAAATTGATGGCATGAACAAAATCTTCGGGAAGTAATTTAATTTTTCTAACAAAATAGACAGCTTCTGACAATAAGAGATCTTAATGGGAGATAAGGCTATTGTACCTCTCTGTAATTAAAATGCTATACAAAAGCTATATAACTGTGAGAACAAGCAAGTCCCTTAATGGCAATTACTGTCTTTTGTAGGAGAAAACTGACATAGAAGGGACCTTATTTGTGTACAAAAGGTAAGGGATTTTTTTTTCTTTTTGGGGTGTGCTTGTATTTTTCCTTCCTTAAGAAAAAGTTCAGGTGGCTTCATTTGTGGCTTTCATACTGGATTTACTTCCTCCACTAAACTCATAATTATTTACTTGTCGAGCTTTTAACATTTGCGTACTCATTTGAAAAGAATAAACTCTGCACATAGGTGACTAAATCTCAAAAGCACCTAAAAGTACTACTGAAAAATCATAAAGTTTGATGAACGCTGCCTATGTATCTACACTAACGTAGATTATTGACCGTATTTTGATAATCCAGTGGTGTCTATTAATGCATTGAGTTTGTTAAATTCCTTTGACTCCTAAAATCCATTAAGTTGCTTATGAAAACAGTACAGATGACAGATTAAATAATCTGCCCTAATTTACTGTCAGGAAAGGACAGAAATTCTTGTAAATAGATGAATTTGCCTAAAAACTAAAGATCTACTAGCATGTAGTTTTGGGGACTATTTGATTTCTTTGTTGTGAAAGAAATTTCTAGTTATATGGGATGGGGAAAAGGGGGTGGGGCAGAGAACAGCCACATAAAACCAATAATGGATTTGAGTTTTAAATTACAGGCAAATCCAAAATCTAACAGTGAAAAAACACTGTGGCAAATGTAAGAAAGTTAAATACTGTGGCTTAACCCGTCTTGAAACACACTACCGTAAACTAGGTCATTACAATATTTTATCCTGGTACTGTGGAGAGATACTAGTAACTAGTTCCTGTCTACTTTAGCTGTGAGCTTAGAAACACTTACTGTAAGAAAGCCAACCATCTGAAACCCAAAAAACTGAGCAAAAAGCTTCCATGTGACTAGTTAGTTATTTCAAACAAGTTCTGTTAGGCGCAGTAAAAGACTAACTTGCCGTGGTAAGGATTGTTTGCATCTCCCTTGGAACCTCTTGAGAGATTTTGTTGATCATTTGGTAAAGGTGGCCACATTGTTACAAGAATCTTAACGTTCATTAGCTAATTATGTCTGATGTTTGCCCTGCCTTCATCATGGGGCTGTGTTGATTATATCAGTGCTTACAAGCACAGCTGAGTATGCTGATGTGACTTCCATGCAGCAAAAGACAACAGATCTAAAACTATATTGAACTTCTAGTGCTCATTTGCATGATGTTTTCTTTTTCTACCTGGTGTCTACCAAAAATGTAGATAACAGAAATTGTTTCACTAGGCAATACAATTTTGAATAATTTCATATCTACTTTGAGGACACTGGGTTAAGTCTTTATTCTAAGAGTCTCTCTTTAGGAGGAAACTACTGTGTGTGGTTCCCCTCAAAGTGTACTTCATGTTATTTAAGCTTGTCCTACCTATTTGTTGTCCTACCTGTTTACAGCAACGTAAATATTGCCCTGTAAATGATTTGGGTTTTTTCTTCTCTAATAAAAGATTCTAAAATGTCTCAAAACTGTCTTACATGAAGTATTGAATACACTTGCATTTTCATCCTGGAGCTGCCTCAGCCTTTTTTAATAGATTTTTCGTTTTGAGGTATATCTTTGATTCAGCAATGCAGAACTGTGATGTAAATCCTAGTCCTGCTTTTAGGTAAGTGTAGTTTTAAATTGACATGAGTTGGCATGCCAAGAAATGGCACAGATGAACAACTGTTAAGGCTTCAGGGCTCCTAAAGCTTCACCTTACAGAGCAGTGGGGATTTGAAGATGAATTCATAACTCTGTTTCAGAAAATTCTATCCATTGATCAAGGTATTAATCTTTGCACTTTTTTTAATTGAAACAATAGGTCAGCTTCTCCTTATCATGGTTTTACGATAGTAAATCGACTGAACATGCACAACCTGGTTGAACCAGTAAATAAAGATTTGGAATTTCAGCTCCACGAACCTTTTCTTCTCTATAGAAATGCGAGCTGTGAGTATCACTTCCTTTAATCCATATAAACTTGTTCTGTTTTATTACCTAGACCGCTTCTGGGGACTGTCATGTCTGTTTCAGGTATAATGTAATGGGGCAAGTTCCAGTGAGGAGTCTGATGTTTTGTCTGCAGTGCTAGGTTTACCTAAATACCTGTGTGGTTATATTATGGTGACTACCTGCTTTCAATAGAAAGAGGATATACTGACAATGTTCAATGTTGCTATACTCTTTTTAATTACCGATCTGATAGTTTTAATGTAAACATTCACAGTGCTAAAGGATTAATTAAAAAAAAAATCTATGCAAGAATAATGAGGATGAAAAATTTGGAAAGTGTTTAGCACCAAGAACAATTCTAGGGGCTTTGCCTTTTGCAAGCAAAAAGTGAAATATTAGTCAGTAACTGACTGAAGAAGTTGAGAAAATTGCTCAGCTCTGGACTTCCTCCACAGTAGGTTTTGGACTAGGGAGATAGATGTCTATACTAAAATTTCCTGGAGTTTACACTCCAGCAGGTCTGGATGCTGGGGTAGTCATTATACATATAAGCAGTAAAATAGTAGGCAGTATTTTCTTACTGCCTTTTTAATTCTAGTAGTGTTTTGGGTCCTCAGTCAAGCCTCAGAGTCCGTGTGCTACATTCCAGTTAGGTACATGCTAACATATCTAACAATCCTGTTACTCTGAAGAGCTCAAAGTATAAATGGTGGCCCTTAAAGAGAGGCAGAACGAGTGTGTGTGCATATGAAATTCACATCAGCTCAAGTAGAATAACTAAAAGGCACCCCACAGAGCGGAGGGTCTTCCTGATACAGAGGTATTGTTTCACGTCCTCTTTTTCTAGGCAGTGTTCTTGAAACTAGTTTGCTGCTGTCTAGTGACAGGTTCCCCTTACAGAAGTACTCAGAGAACCTGTATGCTGTCTTGATATGGTACTTCCTCAACACCAGGTCTTCTTCATATCAGAATGTCCCCCAGTATATTGAAAAGTCTAGGAGACTGGGGAAGTAAATGTCTGGCAAGAAACTGGGAGGGGAAAGATCTTGCATTGAGTTGGATGTGTAAGCAAGTTTCCTGGTTAGGAAGGAAGAGGAGCTGTAGGTGATGGTGGCAGGGGTAGGATGGCTGATGACATAGAGGAAAGAATCAGATGTGAAATTGGTGACATAAGGAAAGCAGGAAGTTGATTCGTGTGTTTGTCTGAACTGCAGATGGTTTCAGGAAGCAGGAGCTGCTGTGGAATTACCATGGAGTGTGCTAATGGGAGTGACTAGAGGATCACTTAAAGAAAGCAGTCAAGCAAGGCAGGCTGTGTGTGAGTTCATTAGAAACCCCTAAAGCTAATTATATAATTTTCTGTCATGGATAAAAGCTCTCCTTTTCCTTTGGGAAACTATTGTGTAAGACATGTGGGAAGCTTATGGGAGTTAGGATAGAGATGTCATGGAAAACTATGAGGAAGGAAGAAATTAATACAGAGGTGAGCAAGGAAAATACAGCCTGGATGTGGGAAATAATTGCATTCTGAAGGAATCAGGAATATTTTTTTTTTCCCCTTTTACATCTTTCCCATTCTCTTTTTAAAAGACTGGTTGGAAACTATCCTTGATTTCATTGCTCTGTCCTGTCTCCTGGAAGTGGGTAGTAGCATGTCCAGAAACAGTCTACATTGATTGCAATTTAAACATGTTCAATGTAGTTAGTATGCCATTAGTTATTTCCCTGAGTGCCACAAATAAGCAGCAGATCAGTTTTTGTGTGCTCTGCTAGTGTTCACTTGTGTTCCATGCTTTTAAGCTTTTATTTGAACAAGGAACACAGTATCCAAGTGTTGTTTAGTCCTTACGACTTCAGTACTTCTAACTCCCTTACATTTTGCATTTAGTTTGTTTTGGATTTTCTTCCTTGCATGCACTTTCCCAGATTTTCTGACCTCTGTCCCCTGAATTAGTTGGGTAAAAAAGTTTATGATTGAAATTTTCAGTGTTAAAGTTGTTTGCTTCTATCTCTGTAGTATTTGTGAAACTTAAAAAAAAAAAAAACAACCAAAACAAAAACAACAAAAGAAATACTTCAGGATAGATTTGGATTTGCAGACCAATTTCAACATATGTATGTTTTATTTGCATGGGGAGTTCAGGGAGTTCTTGTCTAAGTTCTTTTTAGGCAGAAGGGTATCCACTTCTGGTCTTCTGCCTGCTGGCATGAGAAACCTTTGCATTTTGGGGACTAATTCAAACAGTTTAAAGCCAGTGGTTAATGTAATGTGTATCCCTAAGGGCTTACTGTAGTATATCTCTAATGGCTTGATGTGGACTTCTGAGATCCTTTAATGACTGAAAAATGGATTGCTAGGTTGTGCATGGAAAAACTCCTTCTTACATAGAGTCTTGGTAACAGCCCTGTTTCCTTTGTATCCTGCTTAAGGAAATCTACTGTGATCATTACAAACTCTTAAGAGTAAGTTGTCCTGTGAAGACTGCCGAATTATTGAACCGATAAGTCTGTTTCCTGAGTATATAGATGAGGAATTGTTCAGACTATGTGATAAAAACTTAAACCCATGTATATTAATACTCCAGTTTGACAGAGATAAATATGTTTTGTGCCTGTATATTTAGGCTGTAACAGGATCAATGACAAATTGTACTTTAGACTTCCCCAGGGCATTGTAGAAATAGTAGAAGATGATCTAAGCAAAATTATGCCTATTCAGGGAAGGTTCCGAGTCAACTATAATTGAAATTGATACTACTGTTTTATAAACTTCACGTTTTAACTTTGTTCTGGGATTCTGACATGAGGTAAGAAGATAATAAGGGCAGAGTCTGTTACATCTATCAGATCAGACCTCTGGCATTTCTGTCTTAAATGGCATGAGTGCTCTTCGGAATGTATCCACTGATATACTCCAGTCTGGGCAAAGCCGCTAACAAGTTACATGAGAAACTTTGCAAGCAGTATATAAACATTATTTTTGCTTGGCTGAAGAGTGATTTGCCTGTCATGCTAGATCGTATTATTTTTGGTAGGTTTTACCATTCTTTAATGGTTCAAATTGTTCAAATATTTTTATATACAATATTCTCCTTCCAGAATACCCTGGTGGTACAGTACCTTTCTTAGATCTACCTTTTGGTGTGTTCACTGAGTGAAAAGGAAGATGTTTGGGTCAATCTGTTATTCTGGTTAAATGTAAGACTTGTAGAGGTGTGCTTTTTTTCCTGCAGAAAATAATACCTTTTTAATATTTTAGTCATTAATGCGGAAATCTTTACCAGCATCAGATTTTTTTTGTTCTCAAAATCATTCTAGCTACATAATATGGTTCAAAAGAGTACTTAAATGCAAACTTTTGAGAGAGGCTATGTCTACTTTAAAAGTTCTGTATAATGCTTCCCAAAAACTGACACCATTTGTTCATGAAGCATCAGATCCTAAAGGAAAGATGACAGGGCATGTGTCTAAGAAGCTGTGAGGCATTATACTGCTTACAGTGGAAAATAGAGAAAAGAAAAAAAAAAAAAAGGTTTTCTACTTTTTATTGTTGGAGAGAATGAAAGAAAGGAAATCTCTCCAAGTGCAAACAAATCAAAAAACTACAAAAATGACAATAAGCTGTTTGACTTAATGTAACAAGAATTCACCTTAAAAGGTAGCATTTTTTTAGACTATACTTCATACATAATGTGGGATTTACTATTGTTTAATCTAGAATATGCGTTGCTGGGTTCATTTGATCTTTGTCTGACTTTCCCTCTGGACATACGCACGTTCTTTAGAGTATTCAGAGTATTTGTTCATGAAGCACTGAATCCCGTTGACCTGTTTCTTTAATGAACCTCAGCTCGTTTCCTCTTGTCTGTATTTTGTGAAAAGTATGATAAACTCTGAAAAATGCATACTGTTCTGCTAGTAACAGTAATAAAAGTTCAGTACTTTCAATCTGTAATGTGAGAATCTGGAACTGACAGTTGATAGCTTGCTTAATAACAGGAAAATTAGTCAAAGTTTAAAGGAATGGCCAACTTACCTCTTAAAGTGTGCCAGAAGTATTCTTCTAAGTCTTGCTTGTTTATAACTTTCCCTCTGTATCGGTGGTGTTGGTCTTGATTAAAAGGCTTTTTAATCCAGGCTAGTTCACTTGAGAGGTCAGGCAGATTGATTTCCATGGTACTGAAAAGACAGATGCTAAGCATAAAACTTGGGTATTAAAATAAATGATCCTTGTTTGCTGGGGGGGGTGGGTTGATTTGTGGGTTTTTTTTGTTGCTTGCTTTAAGAGCTAGTAAAACAAAAATAATGCGGTTTGGGAAGGTTTATACATTCAAGTAGAAAGCTTGGTTACAAAGTGCTGTCTTCTGGGCTTGTTGTATTACCATCAATTAAGCAAACTTCCGTTCAGAACAGGAAAAGCAAAATGAATTGCATTGTTTAAAATTGTTTGGAAGGGCTCCTATGAGATTTCAGAACGGGGCACCTTCACCGGCCAGGCGAGTCTCCCATGGTGCCCTTTGTTCCTGGCCGGCAGCGTGGTAAGCGTGGCCCTGCCTCTGACTGCCGAGCCGCACGGCTCCCCAGCAGTGCGCTAACCCAGGGGCTCAGTCCCAGATAAGAACGGAGCCTGCTCTTGATACCTTTATAGCAGAGGCAGCAGTGCAAGCCAGGGGGAGGAGGGGAAACGTTGAACGCTGTTAAGACGTTCTAAAAATATTTTGCTTGACCTGAGGGATGGGACGCTTAACTGCAAGGGGATTTCCACTGTGCTTCGGTGCTGGGAAGTGGTAATCCCTCCCTGCACACGAGACTTTGCCAGGTGGCAGTTTGTTGAAGTGGTCCTGGTCTTGGGCTGTTTGCCTCCTCCTGAATTACTCTAGTGCTACTGCTTGTGGGATTGGGCAGGAACTGTATTTGTGAAATGGCCTTAAATATTCAAAACAACAAGAAAGTGAGGGATTTTTTTTCATTCATTCTAATGGTTTTTAAACCTATATGGCAGGCTAATATTTAAATTGATGAAAAAATGGTGTATGAGGAATCTCAGTGAAGAAGACAGTAAGGCAGGTTGACTGAGCAGAGTGGCATCTCAGCTAACCTTGCTGCTGGAAGAAATACAAGCTTTGAGAGAGGTGTTTTCTGTGCTAGTCTTTCACCACTGTCCTTGTAAAAAATTTCTTCCTGACATCTAGTCCAGATCTACCCTCTTAATTGAAAACCATTACCCCTTTGTTCTGTTGCTACAGGCTCTGCTAAAAAAAATCTGTCCCCATTTTTCTTATAGGCCCTCTTTAAGTACTGAAAGGACACGAGAAAGTCTTTTTGGAGCCTCCTCTTCTGCCATATGAACAACCCCAACTCTCTCAGCCCTTTTTCATAGGACAGCGTTCTCAGGCTGCAGTTTCATGAACATTTTAACAGTTTTGCCATACTGTGCTTCCCCCGGCTTCTTGTTTCTGCCCTCTCTTGTGATAACTTCTTGTGAAGCTGATGGGCACAGTATCAAGGGACTGGTCTGGACTAAAATGTATCCAGCTGGCATAAGAGAGAGTTGAATTGCCATTGAATGAGTTAAAGGCAAAATTGTGGGAATGTAAGGGTGGTGACACTACTGCTTTGTGCTTGCTTAAAATGAAAACTGAAGAGAAACTACAGCTTTGGGATGCAACCTCATTTTATGTTGCCAAAGAGTGAGGCCCTTGTCTCACTGTGTCACTTTGCTACCCAATTCTTAATTCGGATCTGCTAACTGGGCAGCGTTGGAACAGTAACTTGACTGTCCCATGAAACAACAGGAGCACCATGTAAAGACCTTCATTATGGTGTCATCCAGCTGCTAGACTTAAGCAGGAAGGCTTCCATCATATTTTTTCTCAAAATACCTTTGTTTTCCCATAGCTGTATCCATTCAGTTTTAATGATTTATTAAGTTTGGAGAGAAGTTGTGTTACATGTTTAAATAAATGCTTGTGGGTGTTTCTAATAAAAATGACATGTGTCAGAGAAGAATGTAGATGAAGTTAACTGATGGCTTCTTTTGGTTTTATTAAATCTGATTTGTCTGTGATATGGGTTACTCATGACTTCATATATGTCAACATGTGTGAGTGAATCTAACTGAAAGATACTTGGGCTAATGATTATAAAACTGCTTCTACTTGATTACTAAAGATGCTGCCCAGCATTCAGTGTAGAAAAGCTGGATGGGAAGTGTTGAACTAGATGGAAAAATAAGTAATTTAATTTAGTGGCTTCTGTTGGATGAAACTTTAAAAGAACTGCAGTAGAAAGATATGCCATTAGACATGCACATTCAGCTAATGTTTATGCAGGGTGTAGTAAAAAGATCACAGGTTTGAAAAGAACTGCTAAGTACCAATTCTGTTTTAAATAAAAGGATATTCATAGCTAAAGCTGCAGGCATGTAAGAAGTAGATCACATACAGTAATGCAGTTGAAGGACACACATAGTTTTTGGGCAAGGGAGCTGAACTGATAGTACAGTGAATCCTCTTTTGCAAAGAGGAAGGTAAACATTGTAAACATTCCAGCCTGTTGGCCCGTATTTAAGTTAATGCCCAAGCTGACTTGCCCATAATCGCCTTTACATCTTAGTTGCAGTGACTCCCTGTGATTGCTTGCCAGTAGTACAAAGGGGAAAAAAGCCTGATACTCTATATACCAAGCTGGGAGTTGGATCTACTTCTGGTCATGTGTAGACCTGTTTCTGGCAGAATTGAGTGTGACTTTTATCACTTGACCCATTAGGATATCATTACAGGTTCCTTATCTTCATTTCTTCTGCAGGTACGCTTTTGCAGAAGCTTTCTTCTCTTGGCAGTTTGTCAGATAATGAAGTGAGGGAAGGAAAAGAGCTTTTTTCAGTGTTAAAACATGCTACATGACTGAAGAAGTAGCTTAATCTGAAACCATTTTCAGGTGTCAGTTGTATTAAATGTAAATATTAATAAATAGCTCATAAGCATTGGCTACATGTATGAAATGCTTTTTGTATTGGCTTATGCCTTTTGAAAGGAGAAAGTTCCTTAAATTGTCCTGTACCGATTTCTTTGTTTATGACTTGAAAAACCTTTAAGGTCTATTACTCAAGCTGTAAATGCTAAAGAAACAAGCAACCAATTTATTGTAGTTGCTCTTTAATAAAATAAAAACAACAGGATATTGTTATAGGAATGAGATGTAGGCATCACCTTTTGAAGTGTTTGGTCCACCACAATAAGCCTAGGATAAGTGGAAGGTCTAGAAAAGAAGTCTGGTAACTAAGTGCCTTCTTTGCCATGGCTTGAAATAATTTTGAGTGGGCTTTGGTTGAGATGTTTGCATGTTTTGAGGAGGGGGGAAAGAGGGAAAAAAAAAAAGGTGGATTTGGGGGGAAGAACTTCAGTTTGAAATAAAAATCTACATCTGTCTGGAAGAGGTTGTGTAATTTTTTTTTAAACATGCCTTCACTTTATGTCATATTTTTATAATCACCAATTTGAACTTCATGAAAATATTGGCATGAACTGCAGTATAAAGATGAGTTTTGAAAGGCTAAAAGCGTCTTTTCAGAAGTGAACATGTTTTAATGGTAATGTATGTAAAGTGTCCAATTGCCTTTGATGTCCTTGCTCCCCATGCACTGGCAAACTGCACAGGTGAACCAAAATTTAAAATAAACTGCTTTGTGGGTTGGACTAAATACAGTTCTGAAAAAAGCTCTGCAGCTTTGTTGTGTTGGCACAACTGTGGGAACAATGAGGAGATAAGTCTGTGCATGTGTAAGATTGGGTTTCTTTGAAGTGGGATTGCTGATGAAGGAATAGGACATGGCACTACTAATGTAGTCTCTCCCTCTGATGGAGTGTCTTTCAGTTCAGTGGCCAGGATCTACCTTTCCCAAATTTTAGCAGAATCCTACATACTCTGAAAGCCAGAACGGGGCTGGGGGCTTTCAGAGCTGGAAACCTTTTGCCTTCATTGCTTTGTCCTTGATGCCTGCAAAGAGTAGGGTTCAGTGTGACTCTAGTTTAGAGCTGCTCCGTGAACGTGACAGTGTGATTGGAACTTTGGTGCTGCTTCCTTCCCATATTATTACTTCTCTTACAAAAATAATTTGGAGAGGGAACCTTTCAGAGAGCCTCTGGCTGAACAGTTGTACTGTAATTCAAACTTCAATATTTTTGTTGAGCTTCAAAAATTAACCAAGTTAAAGATGACTGGTTTAAAAACAAAACGGAAGAAGAATAAAAAAATATATTCTTTAGCCTAGTTTAAATGGTAAAGTCAGTAATATGAAACACAGTTGCAACTGTAGTGAGAAGGCACCTGGTAGTTAAAACTTCATTTTCCTGCCACTTTTATTTATAAACAGATTCAACATTTTGTAGTTCTGCTTAATCTGAAGTTGTTTGCACATATGCTCTTTCTGATGACTTTATAAATAGTAGTCAGTCACACAGAGTATTTGAGTGGAAATTGATGGCAATTTGTGTATTGCAGATCTAATGGACTGGGGCTTTTTTGCACTTTTTCCTATTGATACTGTTTTTTTTTTTTTTACCTTTGTCTTACACTTGCTTTTTTCTTATTTTCAAGTGTCAATTTACAGTATCTGGTTTTACGACAAGAATGACTGTCATCGAATAGCAAAACTCATGGCTAAGTAAGTACTGTGGTCTCATTATTCTGTAATTTTTATGCAATAGAGGAAAAAGAACCTCTTAAACATGTTTGGGTTGTTTTCCTCACTCTCCTTAAGTAGAAATACTCTTGCTGGTACCAGATATTTTTAGTAATCAAAGTGGGAGTTCTGTTTTTTAAAAGACCTACAGCACTAAAAATCTTGGTTTAAGTGGTAAAAAAAAATCAGTTGAAGTACTAGTTGGCATCCTCCAAAGAAAGTAAGTATGAACACTGTTTATTATTTTATTTTGTAAAGGAATGCTGGTAAAAGATCCTCTGATGCGTAAAGTGTAATCAAATAAATTATTTCCACTTCTTTTTGTTGTTTTTTATGGTTTATTTGGGGGGGGGGGGGGGGGGGGGCTTGTGGGCTTTGTTGGTTTTGCTGGGAGTTTTGTTTGTTTTAAGGCTTGCTTATTATTCCTGACTGAAATTGAGAGAATTGATTCTCCAGTTAAGAGACTGGAGAATAGTGGGAGAAGTAGGTTGAATCTTATAGAATTAAAGTGATGTTAGGAGATTAAGCAAAATGATGAAATAATAGGAGCTTGTTGTTGCTAATGTCTGGATTTGATTTCTTATTAATCTTTTTTTGTTCCCCCCTTTTGAAGATCAAGTTGGTTAGTAAAGCTGCCATGTCACTTGCTCTTGTTTTGTAGTTTCAAGAGCTGCTAGAGATCTCCTGCAGCAGGAGAATTTCTGAAGTGATCTCACTTTAAAGAAACCTTAAAAGACTGTTTGCAGTAATGTGGTTTTGTTAGCTAGTTAAAGGTGCTCTGGCTGTAGCAATGCAGTTGGTGTACTTGTGCTGTGGACGGTTGTGCTGCCACAGCTGAGGAGGGCTTCACACTGGAGTATAGGAGTGCACAACGGAGCTTAGGGAATGCTGGAACCACTTGACTTGGTGATTTGGAATGAAGTCTTAATAAAACCTGCTGTGACTGGAGAGTATTCTTGCACCTTTCTGTGTTTTCAGGTGGGGTGCCTTGCACATCAAGCCAAGACTTCTTGCTAACAGAAAAGGATGAGATTTAATTTAAGAAAGTCTTTCATGGCCTTACAAAAGGAAGGAGCTTGAATTGCGTGACAGGGTAGTATGCTAGCAAAAATCCGAAGTGCACGTGTACGGCACAGGCTGTCTTCTCATCCCGTGTTCTCTGCTTTGCTATCACACTACTTTCCTGAGCTTTCTTTTCTGTTGCATGCCTTAATCAGCAGGTTTTGGCTGGCAAGTCAGGACACCTTGGTGACTGGGAAAATTTGGAGGCTAGTCATAGGGTTAGACATTTTAGACTGAATTCTAATTTTGTGGTCTGGCATTTTTGCTTTGGGCGTTTCTTGGCTTTTCAGCACAGAAGCAACGTAAGAGAACACAAATAACAGATCGGACATCAAGATATCTTTCTAAATTCTTATTTTTCTTGTCTTTCATCTCAATAACCTGACACAGTTCCCATTTCCCACTTTTTTTTCCTCTCAGCTGAGTTGGACTTTTTGCTGTCCCTTGGCTTGTCCAAATCTAAGGATTAATTGCAAGGCTTAGTAGAAAACAATTGTGTGAAACTGACTCCAAATTAGCTACCAAAACAAGTAACAAAATGTCTGTCACCTCTCTCTCCTCTTTATAAAGAGAGCATCAGAAGGGCATGGCTTTCTTTGTTTAATGCACCTTTTAATTTAAAACCATGATTAATATTTGAAATGGGAGAGAGAGCTGAACCCTTCAGACTCTGCCATGTTCTTATTCTGTGATGCACAGCTGCACTGCAGATCTGTGTCATACAGCAAAACTGGAGCTCATTTGCTTTCCCTAGTCTAGTCACTATAGCCCCAGCTGTGGGCTCTAGATACTTCAGGGATCGTTGGAAGTGTAATCGGGTAACAGACCAGGCTAGCCATGGCACAGGAGTCTGTAAAGCACGTCTGTCCTTTTTGCTGGAGTCTGTAACATTCTGGAAACAACTGTAACCCAGCAGGTTCATTTCAAGTCAGTCTGGGAATAATCTAAACTTTATTGTCATCGCCTTTGTGAACTACTGTAACCCGCTTTTTCTTGGGCCCCAGATGTCTGCATTGCAGCTTTATTAATGCACAGAGGCAGAAGGGCCAAATAAATGCTTCACCTCTTTGGGGTGCAGATGTTTACACACTTTTGTGGTTGAGGCACCTCAGCACCCTAAAAAGTTTCTGAGATTACAAATTATTTTGGAAAGTCAGAAAGCTGAAAAGTATTTTTTAAATGTTGGACTTTTTTTTATGGTAGGTGTTGGAATGACTGTGGATTAAAAATATCTTTGAAACGGAATTTAGAGTCGATGCATCAAGCAGACTTTGGGGAACATGTATTGAGCTTTGCCATTTTGAACTTATGCAAGCGAATTTGGAGAAATCAAACATCCAATCAATAAATCTTTTTATGTACATGTTGACAATACAGACAGTTATTTTGCTGAGATGGCTAGGACCTCATTTTAGTATGATTTTTAGTCTTTGCTGCCATTAACTTGGTTAAAAAAAGCTTTAAGGAAACTTTGTTAGCCTACGTTCTGCTAGTATTAAATCTTTAGTTACCCAAGTGCTCTTTTTCATAAAGTCTTCCTTCATTATTAGATTGTGGAATGGCTGAATACTTCTGGTTCTTTTTTTTTTTTTTTTTTTTCCCCTTTAAAATTTTGTATTGGTTTGGGGATAACAAAAGTATTTGCAGACGCCAGTTCTGTACTGACAAAGTTATTTAGTGCAAGTATATTTAGTCGTACTTGTTGGAAAAGCACTGTAAAATGAATTCACGCCGCCTGCCTTAGCTCCTGAGAATCTCTAGATTCATACAGGGGAGAACGAGATGAAGGCATTCTAGTTGCACATTACTGTAGGATGGGAACACTGCAATTCTGAGGCTGTTGGTACCAACTGGGTGAAAAGCAGGTTAATACTGTTTCGTGACATGTTTCCACAAACACCAAGCTTGATCTCCCTCAAAATAGACGGAAGGCCATCAGAAGAAAAGTAGCAATTCTGATATGTCTGTATGCTCCTCTATACAAAACAGTCTGAAGCTGCAGGAATTATTTCATCATGGGACGAAAGATGCATTTAAGAAAAGTTAATATATACTCTTTGATTTCAAAATAATAAAATAAAATTGAATCTTAGAAAAGGAAGGATACATTTCAGCGCATGGTAGCAGGCTCCATCAGGCTTGGTTTAGGATATTTTGAAATAAATATTTACATTGTCTTATAATAGTCATGACTTAGTTCCACAGGTTTTTGTCTTGGGTGGCAATTCATATTTGCACCCTCTTGTTTAGGTGGGGTTTTTTTTAGCACTGACAGGAAAGAGTATTGCCTTTATAGTACCTCAGAGCTTCAAAAACATAACCTTAAAAGGTTTCAAGGAGATTTGCATTCTCTTTCCTGCTATTTGACTTGACCTTATTGTGCCAGACCAAGTTAACAAGATTGCAGGCCATCCATTTATATTTTGGTGGTTTATCTTTTAAAAGAACAGAAAATTAATGTTTGTAGGTTTTGTAATCAGGCTTCACTTCTCACATTCTTCCCCCCCACCCCCCATGAGGTTGTGACAGATAAATTTTCAATGCTATAACTGCAGATATTCTTAAACTGTCACAGCAGCTACTGTGTCCCTGAAGAAATGTATGCTTCATCCACTAGCTGATATAATGGAAAGAAACAGCAGGCCTTGCTTAAAAAAGATTTAATCCTGGATTGCATACAGAACATGCTCAGTGTACAGATTTGCATCAGCTGACTTTTCCCTAGCGAAGGTATTTGATTTACAGAACTTTTTTTAAAAAAACCTACAAGTTTCTCAAATAAAAAAAAAACTTATGGGAGTCATCTAACTCCTGATTTTAGACGGTATTAATTTGGATCTAGTTAAGGTGATTGTTCATGAGGGATGAGTTTTCTAGAAGTAATTGGACAGGAACTAGGGTTTTTTTAATGAACTTTATGAAACTACTGCATTCTGGCTTGTAGAGCTTTAGTGGTTTTTTATTTATAAGTTTAAGCTTGTTTTACTCTGTTTCAACAGTCAGCCAAACTGGCTTCTGAGGTACAGGCAGCAAGCTAGAAGTGCGAGAGGTATCTTGGAGAGTTTGGGGGGGTATACTGTTTCACATTTACTACCATCTGTGAATATAACCTGCACAAGACAGAAGATGGAGGAAGAACTTGTTAGATCATGATCTACATGAGAAGATAATTTGTTATTCTTAAAAAAAAAAAAAAGTAAGCTTTGAAAAGGTAACAAGGGGTTCATAATGGACAGTAGAAAAATACTGTGAAATGTTTTCAAGAAATCTTTATTAAACATTTCTGTGAAATAGATATACTCCTTGAAGATGTTTTATTGTGAGACCAGTTAGTACTGTCTTACTGGGAAGATGGTTTATTGAAACCTTCTGGATCAGCTAGTTTAGAGGAAAAGGAGTGTCTCAAGACTAAAGCCTTTGCTTCACCTATCAGTCAGTACATGCATGACTTGAGCTGTCCAGAATTTTCCCTTTAATGAAAGTGGTTGTTTTTTGGTTTGTTTTCTGATATGATTGTGCAGACACTTAAAATGTCAGCAGAGTATTCTATTTGTTTTACCTTGCCCTTTATCGTCCCTGATTTTGGAGCTTAGACAGGTCATAAGTCAGGACTGTATGATCGTGTGGGGTGCTAGAACAAAATGTTCTCTCAGGGTGTCACCATAGAAACATGTGTATGGTATTGAGCTGCTTCATCCAAACGAGTACATGCTGCAGTTCTTAGAAATTGTCAGTCAGTTTAGATTGGCCTCTCTGTTCTGAGTTCCATTTGCAGGTGAATGCTTGCTTACAGAGAAAGCTGTACTAACAGTGAGAAGCTGGTTAAACAAGCAGCTGGCAGATGAGAATTTTTCAAATTGTTAAAAGCCAAATCTAACCCTTCTTCAAATAAACACCACTAAGCTCTAGTGAAGTAAAGAGGCTTGGTGGCTAGAAAACTGGGAAGAAACTTCCAAGACTTGACCTATTTTTTTTTTCTCAGAAATGGCAACGTAGAGGTGCATATAAATATCTACTTGATCTACAGCGAATAAAATCTGGAGTTTGTCCTGAATCCTAACTGACCCAAAGAAACCGGAGGCTGGAGTGATTGACACTTCCTGTGATTGTTATGATGGCACCTCTTGGCTCCCCCATCAGCCATCAGTTCCACAGCAGGAGAGTTCTCAAGTGACGTGCCAGCTCCAGAGCTCTGCCCTGTTTACAGTGCTTGGTTTTTTTTAACATATTTGATTAATGCAGGCTTAAAAAAAGAAGGGATTACAGGCTGGTGTGTGTTTATTTCAAGAGGATAAGCTTCGGTGCGTTGCACAGCCATGTATATCTTGTGAATGGCCTATGGATTAGGAGTAGGAGGATATGTTGCCATTACTTTTATTAATGAAACACACCAGGTACACATCATCTTGTTGCTTACATTAACTGTTGTTTAAACAGAACGTTCTTGATACTTGAGGCAGGTAGAGGTGGAGTAGAAGTGGTGAATGAACTGAAGCCCAGAGGAAATCACATGTGGTAGGTATTCAGGTAATTGGAATTGCTACAGGGTAGCTAGAGAAGAAAATAGTTTGCCCTTCTTTCCTGAGCCTGAAGTGGGGGAGTAGGGGTAACTTACTCTAAGCTTCTTTGCAGACTGACTCCAGGGAGATCTGGTATGAGCCAGCTCTCTTCTTCCCAGCTCTTTTGTTGCACAATGGTAGGCATCATCCTAAATTAGAAGAGTTTTGCAGTTGATTTTGTTGAATAACATGGTTTGAATTGGCTAAATATGGAAAAAATGCACGTTAGGCAATAAAGAGTAAAAAAATTATGGTATAATGCATGTGCTCTGTGTAGCACATGCCTGAATGTCCACCTGTTTTATTGTAAAAATGTTCAAATAAGACAGTGTTACAGAAGTGGTGTTTACTGTAGGCAGACTGTGTGAGAAGCAAACCAGTGCTGTCTGGATTGGAGATAAATCATACAGACCATTTGACAGTTTGACTTGTTTAAACCTCGTAGCATATGAAAAGTTGTGTAACTTTGGTCAACTATGTGCTAGGTTTTTATGTGGGCAGAAAAAATGTGTTAATATGCTGGGAGTACCCTCTTTGCTGCTTTTTGCAAGATGTTGACTCCAGATGAAATTTTAAAATCTTCTTTCTCCTTTCCTGTTACAGAGTGGTAGAACAAGAAGCTCAGAGATCACAGCAAGTTTCCCAGGACAGAAAAAGTCCCAGCAGACCCAATGGCTGCAATGAAAACAGGCCCATTGACATCCTGGAAATGCTTAGTAAAGCCAAGGATGAGTATGAACGAGTAAGGAAATTTTTAATTATTATTTATCTTTTTTTTTTTTTTTTCCTTTCTCCTAACTTTATGAACAAAATAAAACCACTACTTCTGCTTCTGAATAAGGGGTTTAGGACATCATGTGGAGCCTACTGAGGCAGCATACTATGTTAATTCTGAGAGAGAGATAGTAGAAAATAATTCTTAGATACTAAATTGTCCTGTGCAGTACATTTAACCCAAGATTGGACAGTGGTGCACCTAATCCATAGTTTGGGAGACTGTATATTCTTATGTTTGATTTGGTACTTTCTGAGGGTGGAAAAGAAAAAAAACAGAATTTTAGAAACAGATGCAGACACAGCAAAATATTTTTCTAAAATAGGGACATGGGCTACTTAATTCAGTAGTCATCTACTGTCTTTTGTGCAGCCATTGTCAAAGGGGATGTGAACAAATAGATCTGTCTATATGTAACAGTGAACGTACCACTGAACATGTCTGGGTTTGTGATCTTGAAGTTCCATTATTGAAAATATTCTTTATAGTGGCTGACACTTTGGTTTTTCAGTTGTTTCCTCTGTCACTGGAGGACATCTGCTAAGATTCATGCCATAATCAAGACCATTCACCGAGTTGCATGATAAAACGCTTTGACATATTGAATAATACAACAGAAGCCCAGAAACTGTATGTTGCACAAAGTCATAAGTTTTATTTCCGAAATTTCCCCAGTGGGCAACTCCGTGCCAACTTTTGCAGTAATTGTCATTTTTAAGGAAGCCTGCCTGTAAAGTAGCTTTTAACACATGAGCTGTTTTGTTTGAAGAGCAGGCGTGCTCGGCCGTTGTTTCAGTAGCCTTGTTTCCAGACTGATGTCTTGTTCCCTCCCTCAAATACATTATACTAGAAAACAGTCTCTGGCTTCAGGCAGGATAGGTTGAGTACTGATTGTGTGATCTGACTTGAAATACAGCTCGATAGATGCATTTTACAACAATTTCTAATGCAGTGAGAAGATTTTGTCTCTGGGAATAGCAAATAAAAATTATACCCAACAGTGCCTGTCTCTTTAGTCTCAGAAGTTGTCTTGTGGTATTAGAGATTTAGTCGTTTGGTGTATTTTTGGGCTCTGTGAAGCATATTTTTAATAGCTGTAGACTAAATATAATAATACTGTTCCCCTATACTTCTGTTCCCCAGTTTACTACTTTTGGCCTGTCTGTGTCTATCCTTTCAATAAAATAATTGGTTTCAAAAAGGTGAGTCTGGGATTTTTTGCCAGTGCTAAATTCATGACTTTACCTAATGAAAGAGAATATTAGTTCTCTTGGGAAAGAATTACTTTATATAGCCCTGAGGAACAAATTCCTACATGCGGGATGAATATTAGGGTAGTATGTGGGAGATCCAAAAAAGGAAACAGATTCTGAAGATGCCTTTCCCCAATTATAATATTACAAGAATGTGCAGTAGTAAAGCAGTGTGCAAGTATAACATTACAGGGTTGTGCTGTGCTTTTAATTGCTGCAGTGGTGGGAGAAGACTTAGCACGTTGGTAAGGTGCTTGATTCCTTCCAGAAGTTGGTTGTGCAGTAGGTCACAGCGGAGTTCCTTCGAGTGCTTGGGATTTGAGTCTTTGTGGGATTCTTACAGGATTGTTACAGCACAATGTGAGATGAGGAGAAAAGAATGAACATGTGGATTTAACTTGATGTGAGCTAACAGCTCATCAGGGCTTCTCCCTCTTTGTCCTTGCACTACAGGATGATACACATTTCCAACAGATGGCTCTTAAAAATTACTCAGAAAGGATATTCCAGCTTCTCCTATGCTAATTTTGAGATCCTTTTTGTGTGAGAATACAGAAAAGCTTTTGCTAGAAACAAAGTTCCTAAGCATTGTGGATGAAGCTCTGTAGACAAGTAAAATCCTGATAAACAGGTGATGGGATGCAGATTTTATGGTGGACAGTTCATATGTGTGGTGCCTGCCATGTAGTGCTTAGACTACAGTAGAGCTGCTGTGTAACTGGGGGGGTTGTGTCTTGACCTTGATTTGCTTTTGTGTGCATTTTGTTTTTGTTCGTGCTTTTAGAGCACTAGTGAAACTAGAATAATTTAATTTCCTTTTTGTGTATGAACTGTAAACTGAATCTGTTGAACATAATCCCATAGCCTGCTGTGATTACAATTGTGTAGAAGTTGCCAGATTAACAGAATTCTGCAATGTTGGTCACATTCAAGCCAACTTCTTTGGAGAATGTCATGTTGACCACCTCAGCTTTAGCAACAAACCTCTAGCATACTTATTTACATACATATTTAGAACTCCTGTAACCAAGTTATGTCAATGTTAACATGATTAGGTAACCATCTTGTTTTGAAGATGGCTTCTTGAGAGAGTGATCTTTCCTGTCTCAATTTATATATATTTATATTATTTTATGGCACTTAGTAATTACACATGAATTTGTATTTAGGAGCAGAATGTACTTATCTGCCTGGTACATTCCAGATGGATCATAAAGTAATCCTTGTGTGCAACCCACATGAGATTGGCAGAGTGTCAGAATGAGAAGGGGGCAGAGAGAGTGAAAGGGAGATTTATGAAGGTCTGAGTGATTTAATCTAGGATTCCAAATCAGCGTAATCCTTCAAGTACTCACTACATCAAGTCCATATGTGAAAATGAATGAATTCTGAGATTTATTTTTTTCTTTAATGAAGTGAATGGATGCTTTTTGTGGTGTGGTGTGTGCTTCAGCATGAGCATGGAAAAACACTGCAGCTTATCAACTAGTGAAAAGTAAAATATGCTTTGTCTGATTTTTGTAACCACAAGGCATCCAGCATTTCAGGCACAAGGAGTTTTGAACTTCAAGTTAGTGTCTAGAAGTCTGAAAGATGGGAGTAGTTGCTTCTCACCTCTGTGCCTCAATCACAATGTGTAGTCTTGCTTTTGTATTTATGGCTGTCAATTAAAAATTGAAAACACGAGAAGAATAAAGCTCAGATTTGTTTTTTAACTTGTTGTTAAATGTTTAACTGATATTTTGCTGCTGTGGGTAAGTGGCCAGAGCAATCCTCATGTGTTGTGCTAATGTGTGGCTGTATCATGTGCATGAGGTGTGGCTTACCTATTGAAAGCTAGGCTCTTTTACAGTTTGGAGTTTTCCACTAGTGATTCTAACTGTAATACAATTCTTGTTTTCACTTATGTGTGCATTTATTAAAGATTAAAGTCAACTTGATCTGTAAACATACTGTCTGCTTAATGCAGCTATCATCTGTTTTCTGCCTTATTCACATAAAATCAAATTAACACCTTCTGAAAAATACATGTACATGGTTAATTAAAGCTAGTGGAAATAAGTCAGTGACAGCTTTCTTGCCAGCCACTTAGAACAATTTCTGACAGATTATTTTTCTAAATTGTTTCTAGTCTGGGTTCCTGATTTAATGAAGTGCAGCAAACTACCTTGTTAGTAGCTAACACAGATATGGGATGTGAAAAGCCTGCCATTTTATTTATTTCTCAGTGGAAAAAAAGTATGAAGCCAATTGTCTTTTTCAATAAAGACTAAAAGCTTTATAAATACATACCAGATGGTGGATGTCTTGGTATGATTTTTAGTTCCTGAAATTTGTGAATTCCACAGTATCTTACAATTTGCAGAATTCTGAGTTTTTAAAAAAATTTCAAAAGGCCACATGAAAAGAATTGTAGTAGTGCATAAGTAGACTTAAAACTCATGCATTTGTGTTAATTTTTTTTTTTTTTTTTTTTAAAGAATCAGGTCAGTGAGTTAAGTATTTGTATCAAGTTCTGGAGTGCAACAAAATGCAAATCCTCCAAAACCAGATAGCACAGAGCCTTCAGAACAAAAAACTTTGTTAGAGGTCCAAAGGCAGGTGTGTTTCATCCAAACCTGAAAAACATGCTTTCTTTTGGTTTAGTGTTTAAATATTTGAGTCTGTGTCCCTACTACTGTGGTTATCCTCCAAGTACATTTAAATAGGCTAAGCTGGGTTCTGGAAGACACCAGTCCATGGTAATGTACAGGATGACTTTTAGAACCAGGAAGCAAGAAAAAAATTACCTCTGCCGCATTATTGGACTGAAAATGGCACCAATTAGCTGTATAATGTGTTACAATCTTTCACACATGAATTCAAGCCCTATTTTCTCATGTGTGAGACATGTACTTAAGTTTTATCTGTGCTGCCTTCAAAGCAATAGTTACCATCCTGCTTACTTTAATCAAGTGAATTGCTAGACAAGAAATGGAAAGTGCTTCAGCCATGGCAGCACTAAATCATCTTTGACATAACTGAAAATGTGTTAACCTGTCTTCTCCAAGCTTGTACTGAACCTCTGCATGTATGACTGGCAATGATACCAGGCAGCCTGGCTGATTTCTTCACACTTAGGTTGTGGAGAAACGGTATGTGGGTTTGTTGGTTTACTTCAGGGATCTTTTGTTTTGTTGGAGATGTGAGTGCTGTTTGGTTGGTTGGTTTTGTTTTGGTTTTTTTTTCCTGTGTTAAAAAGTTTTTACAATATATCCCTTCCTCTGCAGGAAGGGAAATAACTGTAAAAATTTTTTTTCAGTGTTGTTGGGGAGGGATGTTACTCAAACTTTGGTAATCCTAGTGTTAAGGTCTCCGTCAGGTAAGTGTTAGATATCTAAAGTGTTGAATCAAGGTATATCTAGATATCTACAAATTGTAAAGTTTGGCGTTACTTCTGCAGTTCAAGTTTAAACAGCAATAAAAATGCTAGTGAAAATAAGCTCTGCTTCACGTAAATGCTGTCTGTAAACCGCGGGAAACTTATCCCAAAATGCTTAGTACCATCACTGTGAGTGGCTGGAATAGGTAGCAATGGTTCAGTATTTGGCTCCACTTTCTAGTAAGCATTTCTGTACAAGGAAGTTGTAGTTTCATACAAGACTTTCTAGAGACAAATTTAGAAAATAAATTCTGCACAAACTAAATTTCCCTGTAGCAGCTAAATAACTTGGGCCTGGTTACAGTGCCACCCAGTGGGCATGAAGAGGTCAGTCAGTAGTGGTTGTCCGAAAATCCCCTGCTGGGGTGAGCTTCAAGGCCTGCCTTCGGCCTTACCACAGCTTGCTGCTGGGTTTCTGAAGCAATAAACCACCGTGTCTGGAAAACTAAACGGCCCCTGGAAATGCGAGCAACCTTGCACTTAGCACCTGTGAACAGAACACTTCCTTTGGAGTAGTAGTGACAATTTCCAGTACAGGTTAGGGCAAGGGTATGGGCAGCAGGAAT